GTCCCGTCCCAGCCACTCTTCCTGTCAATTTCCCTAATATGTAATAATACACAAGTGAAATACATTTTCAACTTTTTTATTATATTAATTATTAATCTGTGTTCCTTTTTTATTCATTTTAAAAGTGGCAAAGCACAACATTCTACATTTCTCTATCAGGAAAACAAAATTAAGTTGTTTTGCATCTTAACATTTTTATCTTTCCTTGGATCCTTTATCAGGGAATCTTCCCCATTCTCATCCTCTTGTTAGTTGCCATGGAGTTGGCTCCAACTCACAGCCACCTTATGTGTAACAGAATGAAACGTTGCCTGCTCCGGCGCCATCTTCATGGTTCTTGGTATGTTTCGAGTCCACTGTTGAGGCTATTATTGTCATTTCATCTCAGTGAGGGTTTCCCTTGTTTTTCACTGGCCCTCTACTTTACCAAATATGATGTCCTTCTCTAACAACTGGTCCTTCTTGATGATATGACCAAAGTAAGCAAGCTGAAATCTTACCATAATCACTTCTAAGGAACATTCTGGTTGTACTTCTTCTAAGACTGATTTGTTTGTTCTTCCAGTAGTCCACGGTATAGTTAATATTCTTTGCCAACACCACAGTTCAAACACATCAATTCTTCTTCTGTCCTCCTTTTTCATTATCCAACTTTCTCATGCATACGACGCAACTGAAAAAGACCATGGCTTGGGCCAGGCGCACCTTATTCATCAGAGTTACATTTTTGCTTTTTAAAACTTTAAAGAGGCCTTTTGCAGATCTGCCCAACGTGATACATCGTTTGATTTCTTGACTGCTGCTTCCACGGACGTTGATTATTGAGCCAAGTAGAATGAAATCTTTGCCAACTTCAATTTTTTCTCCATTTATCACGTTGTCTATCAGTCATTGCGAGAATTTTCATTTTCTTCACGTTCTGGTGTAATCCATACTGAAGGGTTTCATCAGTAAGTGCTTCAAGCTGTCTTCATTTTCGGCAAGCAAGGTTGTGTCATCTGCGTACCCCAGGTTGTTAGTGAATCTTCCTCCAATCCTGATGCCGTGTCCTTCTTCACCTACTCCGGCTTCTCGGGTTATTTTGTTCAGCACACAGACTGAATAAGTAAGGTGAAAGGATATAATGCCTTCTTCATCCTATACCTTCTAGAGTGGACTTGCTAAAATCAAATCATTCTTTAAATTTGGGGATGATGGAATAGAGGATCCATGGATTACCTCAGACAGTCCAGGGAAGTATATACATAATTTTGTATTAGTAAGCATTTTTTCTAATGAAGAGAGTTCATGGAGTTCATCATATTTTTTAAAAGGTTCAGGATGCAAAAACAGTTAAGAAGTACTGACTTAAACTCTGTACAGTAGCATATACTGTGGGAAATCAAATTCAAAATATTCCTTTCAATGATTCACATTTTTGCAGCACCTCAATTATGGAGTATTCTGTTTATTTAATCAGAAAAATATGCTCATATTATAATTTAAAAAAAAGCAAAAAACCCATTGCCGTCAAGTTGATTCCGACTCATAACAACCCTGTAGGAGAGAGTAGAAATGCTCCATAGGGTTTCCAAGGAGCGGCTGCTGGATTCAAATTGCCAACCTTTTGGTTAGCAGCGGAGTTCTTAACCACTATGCTACCAGGGCTCCTATGTTATAATGAACACCTCAGATAATGACAGAGATAAAAAGGATCTCTTTTAGTTATTCAAAAATGGTTTAATGATAGACGTATAGATCAATGGAAGAAAATTGACAACCCAAAATAAATCCATGCATCTATGGACAACTGATCTTTGACAAGGGTGCTAAGTCCATTCAGTGAGGAAGCAATAGTATTTTCAACAAATAGTACTGGCAAAACTGCATTTCCACATGTCGAAAAATCAAGCAGGACCCATATCTCACACCATACACAAAAACTAATTCAAAATGGATCAAGAGCCTAAATGTTAAAACCAAAACTATAAACAAGGAAACTTAGGGGCAAAGCTATGGGACTTAGTTTTCTTTAATGATAGACTGTTAAATACAACAGAAGTATGAGCAACAGAAGACAAAATAAATAACCAGGATCTCATAAAAATTAAATACTGCATTCACCAAAAGACTTTATCAAGGCTAAAAAGACAACCTACAGACTGGGAAAAACCCTTTTGGAACCACGTATCTGATAAGGATCTAATATCTAAAATATATACAAAACTTCTACAACTTAATAACAAAAAGACAAATAACCTAATCAAAAAATGGGCGAAGACATGAACAGACACATCTCCAAAGAGGAGATTCAACCAGCTAACAAATAATGAAAAGATGCACATCATCACTAGCCATTACAGAGATGCAAATCAAAACTACAATGAGATACCACCTCACCCCTATTAGAATGGCAATGATTAAAAAAAAAAAACAAAAACAAAACCAGAAAACAACAAATGTTGGCCAGGATGTGGGGAGATAGGAACCCTTATCCACTGCTGGTGGGAATGTAAAACCACTGCAGAAAACAATATAGGGATTCCTCAAAAAAAACAGAAATAGAACTTCCAGATAATCCAAAAATTCCACTCTCCCAGGTATATACCCTAGGTACCTGAAAGTGAAGACATGAAAGACACATGTACTGCAATGTCCACTGCAGCACTATTCACAACAGCAAAAAGACAGCAACAATCCAAGTGCCCTTCAGCCGATGAATGGATAAATAAAAGGTGGTACATACATGCTTAAAGAAAAAGGAAGACCTGACACATGCTACAAACTGGATGAACCCTGAAGACACTATGCTAAGTGACATAAATCAATCATGAAAGGAAAAATATTGCACCGTCTCACTTATATAAAATGACAAGAATAGCTAAATATATAAGAACTTATGGTTACTACTGGTTACCAGGACTGTGGGGGGGGGGGGTAGAAATCATTCTATTAGAAGTACTGAATGTTTGTCTGTGGTGATGGGAAAACTGGCATCACATAAGCATAATGATTATAGAACTTGAACGTTGCAACTGATACCACTAAGCTGTACGCTAGAAAATTTTTTTAAAAGGGGGGGTGAAATGACAAATAAAATGTTACATTTAATTTTACAAGAAAAAAACAGCAAAAACAAAAAAAGGCTGCAGCTGTTGATACTACTTAGATACAAATAAACACCTCATGGGGTTAGTTTTCTTGCTTCAGATATTTGTGGTGGTGGTTTCATGGGCCTGTCCAGTCAATTGGCCTAATATTAAGAATTCTGGCTCTTATTTCTAGTTCTTAAAAGCTTATGAATGGCCATCCTGGAGCAACAGAGAAATAAGGAGATCCAAAAATGGGGAAGGAAATGGTTTACAGGTCTAATTGCCTCCATGAGACCAGAAGAAATGGATGGTGCCCAGCTATCATTACTGAACCTTTTGATCAGGGACCCAATAGATGGATCTTGATCAAAAGGAGGAAAATTGTGCCACAAACTTCAAATTCCTAGTGGAAATCAGACTTACTGGACACACTGAGACTCGCAGGACCCTCGAGTCTATTTGCTGGAAACAACTTTCAAACCTTGAGCCAAAACTATTCTATGAAGTTATCTTTAAACTAAACAAAAATTTAGCTCCATAAATAATGTCTGCTTTGAGCATTGAGCCCTATGTAAGAATTACATACATGAGATTGAAATGAAAACAATAAGCACCCATGAGAACTTTAATGAGCAGACTGTATATGCTAAGAGTGGTGAAAAAATAGGCCCAGAACCAGTGAGAATGGTTGCACGATGTGAACTATGTAACCACCGTCAATGAACTACATGTAAAAATTGCTGAATGGGTGTATGTTTTGTTGTGTATATCTTCTCTCACACACACATACACACACACATACACACACACAAATGCAGTCAAATACAACAACCCAATCCTATGCTTTCTGGTTAAACTGTATTTTACTGTACATATAACTTCATGTTAACACGTCAATGTAAGTGATGAACGGCTTATAAATCTCTTCTCCAAAGTCTTTAGAACTCTTGTTCCTACCTCAATAAAATAAAGAATTGTTCATGAATTCACTTATGATATTAACAAGTATTTAATGAACACTACTATGTGCCAGGCACTGCATTTGGGGCAATCTGCTTCTGTGATTAATTCTTGGTTCTCCTCTAAATTGTAGTCTCAGTCCACAAAGATATGGTTAGAGCATATAGTTCATATCTGTATGTCCAGCAACTAGCATAATGCCTAGATCTTAGTGATAACATTTACTGAACTGCGTAATGATAAAACAGGAAGGCAGGCTAAATATAAATGCAGTAACTTCGCATTAAGAAAAACCTCCCTGGCCAATTTTCTCAGCTAGCTCAAGCCACTAATGTCAGAATGAGAGGGTTAGTTAAAATCTGTCACTGCTAGCGAAACAAAAAAGTCTTCTAAACATACTTTCTTCTCATCATGTTTATCTTGGACACACACAAGAAAAGCAAGCACGCTCTTAAGCTACATAAAGGATCCTAAACAACGTCAAGAACAGCTTATACTTGAAGGCCTTTCAATAAAGTGCCATACAGATAGACAAATTTACACATTCACAGACTATTTTCCCTACATTCATCTTGACACTGGCTTTCAGGCTTACTGTCCCAGAAGCAACAGCAAGAAGTAACAGAAATGAGGAACAAGAGAAAGTGCATGCTGAGAATAAGCACTTGGGCTGTCTGAGTGAAATGTTCCATGAGTTACTGCAAATTACCAAAACAGTCTGTGTCTAGAAAGCTGGTTGCACAAGGTTTGGCTACTGCAATTCACCGTATGTCACGGGCATTGTTCCCTTCTTGAAAGTCCCAAACAAACATCCTGCCTGCAGCCTTCTCCGGGTGCCGCTAACCCTTGTGTCATATTCCTTAAGTCCGGGTTTAAAAAAAAAAACAGAACGTTGACAAGTATTTAGGAGGGGCCTAGGGAGAACTTTTCACCCCTAGCCGCAGCCCACGATCCTCCCACGGGACCTACCAATAGACCCGCAGCCCGGCCTGACTGGCGGAGGGGAGGCCGGCCACGCCCGGATGCGCGGCAGCCCAGGTCCAGGCCGGCCGTCCCGGCGCGGGGACCGGACGCGGGGGCAAGGTGCAGCCGGGCCTCACCTCCACGGCCTGGCCCAGCTCCAGGTCGAAGCCCACCACACACACGCAGTGCAGCCAGGCAGAGAAGCCGTCCCAGCGCAGCAGGCCCCGGCCGCGGCCCTCTTCCTCCTCCTCCTCCTCTGGCGCGGCTCCCGTCGCCACCACGGCCGGAGGCTCGTTCTCCACGGCCGCCGCCACCGCCTCGTCCAACGGCCCGCGGGACCTGGGCCCCGACCCGGCCGGGCCCCGCAGTGCCATCCGCCGCCCCCTCGCTATTCGCGCCGCCTACACAGAGGACCGCGGCGCTGAGCGCGCTCGGCTTTGC